ATTTTTAAACGACGATTTCTGCATATATTCTGTTCAGAACTGTTGCTGTTCGTAAAAAACCCCACTGGAATGGGTTTTTAGACACTTTTCCTTAGTTTACCAAACTTTTTTTCCATTTTAAGTCCCGATATAATTTTTTTTGCAAACTTTTCAGTTGAAAAATAATTCGCACTCCGTGCAACCGCGCGAAATTCCCTGCTTCAGGAGTCTGGGACCAACCAAAATGCCCTTTTCAATGCGCCATTTTGTGGAGACAAATTTTTTACTGAGAAAAGATAGGAGCACGCATTCTATGTCTATTATTTCTATGGGTGTAAAGTGGAGAATTTTGCCAAATACGTCCATTTGCAGGCGGTATAGGTACATTTCAAATTATTAGTTCGGTCACAAAATATTAACCATTTTACACCAAAACAGTGATAATATAATTAACAGTGATAATATAATTCCTTCAATAGTCGAATATGTGTTAATCTGACTGAAAAGGGAACCAGTTGTTCAACTTTTTGTCAGTGTAAAAATGTGTAGCGTGAGCCCCGTAGATAAGCTTCATGCTCTTGGGTAAACGCTAGTGAAAAATAAATATGTTTATACAAAAATATAATTAAATAAGTACCAATTATGTTTCTATCAAAAAGATTTAGGAAAAAAGGTAATGTAGGTCCACTGCTGTTTATCTGAAGTTGTGAGCCACAAATTGACGTTTGAGTATGAGTATTGCATGGTCATTTTCTTGTGAAATATCCATGCCAGGCATTTCACACTTACCAATGACCACACCTAAACGCACCATCTCTGAACCAGATAAGCACCTCAGAATAGCCAAAGCTTTTATGGTTTGGTAGATTATGGCGAAAGCATCGTTTTTGGGTGTGGTCGGTTCCGGGTGTTTCGCCACGGACTGGGATTCGGGCAACGTTACCATGTCGAGCGTCATGGTCAACTTGCCCTAAAATAGTTGAGATTATCTGTCCTAGACGACATGTTAAACGTCTGATTTCATCAATAAAAGTTTTGGTGCTTTCATCATTAATTGTCCTCGTATATCTAGTTTTGTCTACTTGACTTTATTAATTTGTCTATAATTGTCCATATTGCACATAGTATATGGTCCATTAATAATACTATTATTAATTTTTTCAGTGTCATTTGTATAAATATTGTCAATGAGTGTTGCAGTGTGGGCAGTAATTCTTATTAGTTTTGTTATTAGTGGGATCTTATTTTCTCTATCAATTTTGTATAGGATTGCATTAATAGCATTTTCAAACATTTTCAAGCATTTCAAATTTGTTGTTCGGTGGTCGATAGATCACCCCAATAATTAGGTTCTTACCATTTCGTTTGCGAGTTTCAATAAACATTGTCTCAATTACATCTTCAATAATTATTTTGAACCAGATCATCACGAATTTTAAATGTTAATTGCTTGGAAATATACATATCTGCTCCCCCACCTTCTTTCATTTGCTGTATTTGACCCTATATATTCATAATCTTTAATATTAATCTTTATTATTTATAGTGTGTTAAATATGTTGCTTGGACAGTGAGTTTGAACACTTATCAAACATTTATTTTGTTTCCAATTCGCCATAATAAAAAAAATGTCGGCATGTCGATCTACCTACAATCCTTTGCGTGCAGCAAGCATAAATCCCCAAAAAAGTGTGACAAGAAAAATAGACAATGACATGAAACTTTAACAGATAGGAATAACTTACGTCTTGTCTTTTGTGTGTTATTTAAAAAACGTTTAACTGTTGTTTTAAATCATTTCCGACTGCAATGCATTGTGGGTAGATCGACAGCCGCCATCTTTTTATTTAGGCGAATTACAGAAGCCATCGGATGGTAGTTAGGTAGGTAAAACTTTATTTTATTACACTAACCTCTACAGCAAAGGTTGCTTTCCAAGGGGTGTAGCATTAATTCAAATTTACATTAAAAATTTGGAACAATTAAAGATAGAAATACAGTAATTACAGTTATACAATTATATACATACGAAATAATTACGTACACCAAACACAAAGTTATTAAATAGGTTATAGTAAGTATTACTAGTATAATTACATAGGTGATTATTAAAAATTCTCCACGCTGATTGGTTGCCGTTGAGGTGATTATAACGCGATAATCACCTAAGCGATGTTCAAAATGGCGGCCGAAGCCTTTTTGTAAATTAAATGACGAAAAATTGTGTATTTTCCCCCAAATAATCACCTATGAAATTATACCAAAACAATTTAGCCCCCGTGCAGGCCCAGGAAAGAACAGTGGGCCTGCAAGCAAGATCCGGTATTTTGTAAAACGCTCCTTTTCATAATTCGCGTGTCAATTGTCAAAAAAGAACCAATGACAGCAACCCAAATATTAACAAACAAACTCGCATTAAAATGTTGCGGGGTTTTCTTCGCTTATTCAGAATAGAAACGATGTGTAAATGGCTGCGTTTTATAAATCGGAACAAACAAATTAGGACGAATTTCAACAGAAAACCAGTCTCAAACTTCAAATCGTGAGGGAAGTCGTGCGACCACATTAGCATTAATGTGTGCTTCGCTGTCGCCATTCTTATAAATAAATTGTCTCACTTATCAAATTGTGTGTGCACTTCTTGTTTGCGGCGGAAAGTACGAAATTTATTTCAGTTATGTCATTTGGTAAAGAACTCAACAAAAGAAGAGAGCGTTCAGAGTCCAGATCGTTTCGTTTCAAACGGCAATTAACGTCTTCTGTTTCGCTCTCTCACGGAAGGAAGCACTGCAAATCGCAAAGTGCTTCGAATAGGCTTACATGCAACTGCCTCTAAATCTTCACCGCGAAAAGCGCTGTTTTCGTCAGTGCAAGAACAGAGTCAACATCAACCAAAAGATAATTCTCTTGAGGGACATATAACGTATCGAGTCTGTTTGAAATTAATGAAACTCAAAGGTTACTATAGTTTACCCCATTGGTAATGTTGCTATTCCAACTCTTCACGACAAGCAATCCCCGTTGGTATAACGGCAAAAACATCTCTTCCTTCAAATAAACGATAAACAGGAAGAATTTCAACGAGATCTGCGATAAACAGCGGTGTAAAGTGGAGAATTTTGCCAAATACGTCCATTTGCAGGCGGTATAGGTACATTTCAAATTATTATTTCGGTCACAAAATATTAACCATTTTACACCAAAACAGTGATAATATAATTAACAGTGATAATATAATTCCTTCAATAGTCGAATATGTGCTAATCTGACTGAAAAGGCAACCAGTTGTTCAACTTTTTGTCAGTGTAAAAATGTGTAGCGTGAGCCCCGTAGATAAGCTTCATGCTCTTGGGCAAACGCTAGTGAAAAATAAATATGTTTATACAAAAATATAATTACATAAGTACCAATTATGTTTCTATCAAAAAGATTTAGGAGAAAATGTAATGTAGGTCCACTGCTGTTTATCTGAAGTTGTGAGCCACAAATTGACGTTTGAGTATGAGTATTGCATGGTCATTTTCTTGTGAAATATCCGTGCCAGGCATTTCACACTTACCAATGACCACCCCTAAACGCACCATCTCTGAACCAGATAAGCACCTCAGAATAGCCAAAGCTTTTATGGTTTGGTAGATTATGGCGAAAGCGTCGTTTTTGGGTGTGGTCGGTTCCGGGTGTTTCGCCCCGGACTGGGATTCGGGCAACGTTACCATGTCGAGCGTCATGGTCAACTTGCCCTAAAACAGTTGAGTTTATCTGTCCTAACGACATGTTAAACCTCACATTTCATCAATAAAGTATAACCAGGTGTCATACGCTTTTGTTAAACATAGCTAGAGATTCTTTTCCTCTTAATTCATCTGGGAGACTATAATTCCACAGCTAAGTCCCTCTACAGCCTTGCTAAATGGCAAGCCGATTGGCTTACATATATTGACATGTTGTTGACATTGCTTTTTAGTCTTCAATATTTGAGTCACAATAATTTCCTTTAGCGGCGAAACCCTTGAGCTGTTTTGTTTTTCATTTACCCAACCTTTCACTCACTGAAAATTTTGTTTAACCAACTCTTTTCTCTTCCATACCACCACCCCCCCCCCACCCCCCCACCATAAATAATGACCAGTCCCTTAACGGAAAACAGAGGAGTGAAGACAATTTTCAACTTAAAAATCGACCTTATCGACAGCAAGGTTTATAAAATCCAATGAATTAGCTTTCTCACGATGACGAATATCCGCCATTTTTGGGTGGCATCTAATTCTTGTTAATCAATGCAGACAATTAAAACAATGTGAAAAGCAATTTTTCAAAATAAACTAACCATTTATAAAGCAAATTTACCACCGTTCGTCCAAAAAATTATAAAAAGTTGCTGTTATGTGGACTAAACTCGCAGACTTTGGCTGAAAAACCACCCAAAAATGGCTGCGAGAGAAATGCTAATTGACTTCAATGGACTTTGTGCTAAGCAGTTTTCTCTGGCCAAAACGCAATAGAAAACATATGTAGACATCGAAAGAACAGTGGCAAGTGCTGCATGTCTTGATTCAAGTGCTCAACACACATTTCGTGCAATTAATCTTCCAAAATTATACGTTCAAATGTAAGTACTAAAACAGACAACTTGTCCTCAAATATAAACATTTAAAAAATATCTAAACGGTTAACTGCATGATTGCTGGGTTTAATTTGGTCAAATACATTTTATCAATGTTGTAACAGAGGAAATGCTTTCGGCAAATAAAATTTGTAGTTGTGTGTCAAAAATCATCCATCAAGCATATTCTTATTGGAAGACGATCAGAAAAATACATTTTTCATTTTTATTCGTCAACTTTGAGTGGTAAAGAAACTATATTGCAGTGCACTGGAACTAAGGGCTTTTTATCGCGTCGTTTTAGAAGTTTTTTTGCTTGGACTGAAATAACAAATGCAACTCAGGCAGCAACTGATCTCAAATGTACTTTGCAATACTAGAATTTTACAAGAATTTCATTAATTATCAAACAAAAAACCCCATATTATTTGCCGTTTAAGTCGGTCAGTACTAAAAATATTTTCCCTCTGCCTAAGAAGCGTCCCTCGGCCTTCCGCTCGCTTCGGAGACCTCGGAAAAATTATTTTCTGTATAATGGACCTCTCAGCCGGTAAACATTAATGAACCTATACCAGCCGGTAAACATTGAAGGGCAACGGTTCAAAATTAATCGAGTTAGCTAATCTAAAACGTTATTGTATTAAATATGTACTGCGCTATTAAAAGATTATGTTCGTATAATAGAAGCTTTTACCTATATGAATTGGGAATTGTTCTTTTTGGTAACAGGTACTTCATGTCATTCATATAACCCACTAGGTTTCACCACATCACCTTTATTCCCATTCCTATTTATTCGTGGTCTTACACTACCATGTATATCAATACAGTGGTTGTGGTATGTCTTTAAGTATTCACAGGGATTGAGAAGTTTCTTTTTCATCCGGTTTCTTAGTATCCAAATCAGTCTGTTATCCCCCCCAAAGACATGCATGTCATAATCGAACTCTTCCAGAACAGACTCGTCTAAAGGTTGTGTAAGTACAAAAATATAGGTATCGTGTGAACCGAAATAGCTCACTCCACAATATCCCAGTTTTCCGGCCATATTACACCTTTTTTCCTGACGGCCATGGCGTGTTAAAGCGTAAGATATATTGGTTTTTACCAGAAATGTTTTATTTACTACTTCAAATCCTTGGCCAATATAAATATCCATATTCGTTAGAACCACAAGCTGACTTTGGAGTCTGTTGTTTATGTATTCGAAAAAATCTCTGTATTTAGGCAAGGCGTAGTTGGTGCGATGTACAAATATTTTTTGTTTGTTATGAAAATTTTGTTCGCTCAATCTTTGTTCGGCTAATGGTTGATTAACAAGAAGATGAACAGTTGTAACTAAGGTGTGGTTAAGATTTTTCTGTAATGTTTCTTCTATTTCTTCTTGTCTTTGCCATAGTATGGATCTGTTGTTGTCTGTTTGGCTTTCGTTCCAAGGTTTTTCAGTCATCAGCGGATAGTTAGTTATTACATGGATACCAGATTCCTCCTTCCGAGGCGGGGCGTCATAACGGTTATTCAAAACAGCTTTTAGCCTGGCAAAGCGGTATATGATTAAAATCGCTCCGGAGACAAATAAAAACTTGAAGTACACTTTCCGCTTAAGTATGGCCATTCCTTGCAAGATTCGGAATAATTAATAGGGACGTATTGGTTTGATTTACCAAGTGAAGACTTATGATCCGTTTCTTCAAGATCGATCTTTCACATCAGCCTAAATATAGATTATGAATATTTTAACACAAATTAAATATTAATCTACTAAAGATTAATTTTAAAACAAAACAATTCCTTTGACCAAATTGTGCTTGTCTAACGAGATGAACTCTACAGGGTGTACAAAAAAAACTGAATAGTTCGAGGTGCAAATTCCGCGAAATTTGTGGAAACTTACAGTAAAATCCGGTGTTAGCAACATTAGCTTAAAATAAGAATTTTGCAGTGCTCTTGTTGGAGTGAAATAGCAAAAAAAGAAAATGCAATTCTTTTATAACGCGCTTTAATTGGTTTATAGAATGCTACCTAAAGAGTAAAGATACTACATACGTTAGCTTAATCCACCATCAATGATATTATGTCTACGGGAATTTTTACATTTTTTGATAAAATCAAGTTGCTATATCCAACCGATGTATGCATAAAAATCGTGCAAACAATATATTACTAATATAAATGTTGCATGTCGACATAGATAACTTTTCTCATCCAAAATATAACTTAACTGCCAAATTGGAAAACTGCACCTGATGCATTTAAGAAAACATGTGGATCAATGCAATTAAGATAGGCATCTAGGAAAATGGAAAAGCAGCTCCAAATCGGCAGACCAAATAGTCAACTGTCAACCAATGTTTTCATATACTGTTTTAAAATCTTGCTCTGTTGGGAACGTGGACTTGAAGATGCCGAGGAAAAGCTAGTCTGTTTAACTAGCGCTACTGTCATCTAAACTTTATTCCTGTGCTGCTCCAGACAAAATTTCCGCCTGGCTTCTCCGCGAAAATGCGTCTGTTCTGTGCCGACCTTTGAGCTCTATTTTAAATCCATTAGTTCGCGAAGGATTGGTTAGTTCAGTCTTCAGCAGGTGCGTAGGAAGCATAAAAAAGTTGGAGGGGGGGGGAGGCTGGGATTCGAGGGGCACTTTTTGAATGAAAAGGGCACCTAACAAAATTTTCCCGGAAATGTTGGTGACAGGGGGGGGTCAGGGTCGTAGCTAGCATGTATAATAGTTGGGGGAGATGTAGTCCAAAAATTTCCGAATGACAAAAAAGGTTTTTGCTATCCAGAAAATGAAGACCCAATTTACAAAGAAAAATACGCATATTTTACGCACAGATGTAATACAGAAGCATGCAGTCCCATACGAATCTATTTTTTATTGGGGGTTGAGAACGAGGGCCCGAGGCCCGAGGAAATTTTTAAATTTAAAGTCTCTGAAATGCCATTTCCTGGACTTTGAAAAAGTTTTGACAGAATTCTGATGGTCAGAAAATAGCGTTTTAGTATGTAGAAATTTACAATTTGCTTGCAATTTAGTTGTACCAAATGGGCGAAGGCGTATTTAATTAACTATATATTGGGGAAGTTGAAAGTATGGATAATATGATTCTTGGCAGTTTGTCGTGGATAATGTAACCGCTTAAAATTAATCAATTGTCACTATTTTAAAGGTATACTATTTAAATGATAAAGATCTGCAAGATTTCGAAAAAAGAATGGTTATTAGCAAATTATTGAGAGAGCTGCAGCCCTCCCCCAAGCCCCCCTCCCCCCTCGCGGTTGCTTCGGCCCTGACGGAAGTAATAAACCGAAAAACATTTAACGATTTACGATTTCAGTTAAATGGTATCCACGTAAATACCATGATTTCGTAAATCAGTTTAATTAAACTGACAATACAATTATATTATATTTTCTCTGTTTAACGACTAAAATTTTGTTATACTATCATTGCCGTAATTTCCGAATGCCCAACCCGATTTCCAAATATGTTAATTTTAAAAACGTTGGGGGTTAACCACCTCCCCCCCCCCCCAATACCTTCCCTCGCTACGGTCCTGGGGGAAGGAAGAATAATAAATGCAAATCATAAAGGGCACCTAAAAATCTTTTCTCGAAAATGTTGGCATTAATCAAAGGCCATTGAGGCAAAAATGCAATCTGAACAACATTTTTCACGAACACGAAGGGCACTTTGCCACCGAAAAAGGGCACTTTTGAAAACTTGGTGGGCCTTTGCCCCCCTAGTACCCCCCGGTTCCTACACCCCGGGTCTTCAGGACGGAATCACAGAAAACGCACGTGTCCGGTAAACGGTAATGTTTTTAAGTTATTCTGTGCGAGAGTGATGTAACATTTAGGCTATTTGTTACATCACTCTTGCGCAGAACACGTGCGGTTTCTGTGATTCCTTCCTGAACTGAGACTGCTGTGTCTTCTCGCCAATTTTAATCAAACATTTTGAAAGTCATAACGAGTGTCAGTATTGATAATAGCAGAGCAGAGCCTGGGGGTACGTATAATAGTAAACGTCTCAAACATTTATAGAGATTAGCCTATATAAATTTTTCTTTAAAGTCATTATTTGCTTTGTCACTATTTGTTCAATGGTATATTTGTCTAACGGTCAATGAATTCTTTAGCTCGCTAATTTGTCTATTCAGCATCAGTCCATCTGATCTTCAAAAAAGTTTCAAAAAAGTTTCAAAAAAGTTAGATTAGGGTTAGGGATAAGGGTTGGGATTAGGGTTAGGGTTAGGATCAGCGGTTAGGTGCCGCGAATTTATCATATTGATAAATTCGGACCTGTTTAACAATTTTCTCATATATTAAATTCAAAGGTGGAGCTCATGCTGGAATTTTGTCTCCGGAATAACGAATTATGTTAGGGCAATGAAACAAATCCGCATTTTATCCATTTTTCCCGCATCCGCATTTTATCCTTTTTGTCCGCATTCGCAATTTATCCTTTTTGTCCGGATCTGCATTTTATCTTTTTTTGTCCGTCCGTCCGCATGTCCGTTTGCGTGTCAGTTCGTCCGTATCCGCATTTTATCCCAACCCGTTGGCTAACTGGCATTTGCAAATCAAATTTGTGGACGACACGTCAGCTGCAGAGATATGGCCAAAGATTTCAATCAGCCTGCTTATATATATAATATGGCGGTATCCAATATCCATGATTTTGCCGTTACGCACAGTATGAAATTAAATCCAACAAAATGCAAGGAGATGCTGAATAACTTTATGAACGAGTCAAACTTCCTTCTCAATAATAAGAATTTAAATGAGACATGCTTAAACGGAAGTCATTTGCACCTAAACCCTAAGCGATCTGCTTATTTAGCGACAAATTTAATCAGGTTCATAAAGGGTGATAACATTCGATCATCAATGCCAACTCGAAGAGATGGGAGTTTTTGGATCCCAGCCCCGTATCAGCTCCATTTACTGGAAGATCTTCTACGAGTTATGACAATGCAAGGACGTTTTAACTAAAAGCAGGTGTGACCCTAAGGCAACAAGTCAGGGTAAAAACGATGCATTATATGACTTAAATTAAATATAAAAGGACTTAAAATTGCTAATGTTAATATAAATAGCCTTCAAGCACATAGATGAGCTTCCATTAATTATGGCTGATAAACGCATACCAAATCTAGCTATTAATGAAACTAAAATTGATCACTCAATATCTGATCAAGAAATAAGTATTTGGGCGTATAATATAATTACGAAGAATCGTATAAAACGGTGGCGGTGTGTTAATGTACGTACACGAATCCACAACATTCATTAAACGCAATGACCTATGTCCAAACTCACGTGCACTGGAAACAATTTGCGCTGAAATTAAAAAGCCACATAATAAGTCATTTCTTGTGAGATCATGGTACAGACCACCTAACTCTGATATTAATAATTTTAATGATTATGAGTCTTTTCTTCAAAATTGTGAAACAAACAATTGTGAGCTTTATGTTATGGGATATTTTAATTGTGATGTTACCAAATCTTCTCCCGACTATAATACTCGTGGGCTACAATTTCTCTCGACACTTTATCAGCTTGATCAAATAATTAATGAACCCACAAGAGTTACAATAACGTCAGCTTCTTTAATTGATCTATTTTACCAACAAACGGGAAAACATATCACAATCGGGTGTGATTCACCTGGGTCTATCTGACCATAGCATGATCTATGCCGTAAGAAAGCTTATTGTCCCAAAGTTGGATCCAAAAATAAAGATTATCCGTAACTTTAAAAATTTTAATATTAATGATTTTCTCAGTGATGTGTCACAAATATCATGGGAAACAGCTACAATACATGATAATCCCAATGGTTGCTGGAAGATTCAGAAATCTTTATTTCTTGAGGTTCTTGATAAACACTTACCCCTTAGACATGTGCGGATCAGGGGAAATTCAATACCTTGGATTACTTCTAGTATCAAAGGATTGATGAGGTTGAGGGATTACCACAAAAAGAAAGCCGTGAAATTTAATTTCCAGTTTCACTGGGATAAATATAGAGAGATGAGTAATAAATTGAATTCAAGTATGCGTACGACTTTTGTAATAAAATTAACGATTCAGTTCAATCTAATGACATTAGACGGAGCTGGTCTTTAAATAACCTTTTTGGAAGAAAAAAGAAAACTCACATTAGTATCAGCGAGCTGACAGTTGATGACGTTGTTGCTTCTGACGACAGATCGATAGCGGAATCCTTTAATGATTTCTTCGCCAATATTGGAATTAATTTGCTTCTGATATTGAAAATGATTCGCCAGAGGAGACCTTGATGAATAATCATACTCCTTTACTTAAGTCAATATTCACATTTACCAAAATTTTTACAACTGAAGTTATCTCTGTGATTCGAAATCTTAAAACATGAAAGTCGACAGGTATCGATAATATTCCAGCTAAAATCCTGATCTTTAACATCTCATTAAATCCGGATTTTTCGTTGATTAACGGAAAATGGCCTGGGTCCTACCAATTTACAAATCAGATGACAAACGCAAATGCGAAAATTATCAGCCGATCTCAATATTGCCAATTTTTGTAAAATTTTCGAGAGATGTGTTTTTAATCCGGTATATA